CACACACACACACACACACACACACACACACACACACACACACACACACACACACACACACACACACGCACACACACAAATACACACACACACACACACACACTCACACGCGCGCGCGCACGCACGCCACAGGTCCTGCGCAGGCGCCACCCCCTGGGCCAGGTACTGGACCGCGCAGAGGGCGCGCTGTGGGACGTGCACGACGCCGCAGAGGCGGCCCCAAGTGCAGCGCTGCAGCCGGCCACGCTGCGCGCGCTGCTGCCCCTCCTCAAGAACCTGGTGGGCCGCACAGCGCCGTCGAGGGGCCCTCAGTGTGGTTTAGGCGGCACGGCCGCGCCCGCACGACCCATGTTAAGCTTTGGAGCAGCAGACACCCGGCCCAGCCTTGGCACCGCCACTGGTTGCGGTGGGCTACAGCAGCTATTCCTCTGGTACTTTGCTCTCGCCCTCAATCCCTGCCGCCCCATGCACAGCCGTCATCCATAGCCCTGGTACCCCGCTCTCCTCCTCCACCAATCAACCCTTCCCGCCCCGCACACCGCTGGCACCCGGCCGCCAGGCCACTTCTCGGGCGGCGCTCAAGGTGCTCCTACACCTGTCCTCTGGCAATGCCGAGGCCCGCTGCCGCCAGGTGGGCCCCTGCACGCACCCAGCCGCTGCCCGCAGCTGAAGCCCTCCAGCCACCCGCAACCCCAAGCCACAGCGGTGCATTCGCGGCACCGGGGTGCGCGCCTGTCACAGCTTCGCACCCATCGCCCCAAGCTCGGCCTGCCAAGGCGGGTTGCCCTGTTGTCCCCGACGCCGAGGATTACATCGCATGCCGCTTGTGTCCATCCTTCCCTGCCTGCAGATTGCTGAGGAGCGGGAGCTGCTGGCGGCGGTGGTGGCGCTGGTGGGCAACCCCAACGCGCTCATAGCAGAGGACGCGATGGCTCTGCTGTCAAACATCACGTGAGCGCGCCGCTGAGGCCGGGACGGCGCTGCCCTGCGCCGGTTCCATGCAGCAATGTTTGCGGCCGATCCTCAAGCGTGGCCGCGAGCGTCTCACAACTTCTCGGCTGCGCCTGCCTGCCTTGCTGTGCCAGCAGCTGCCAGGGATGTGTCCAAGTGTGGGCGTGGCCATTGCGTTGCCCGCGAGCAACATGCGGCTGTCTGGCCGAGTGCTGAGGTATTGTATATTTACGTGGGCTTGGCCGCTCGACGGGGGGCTCAGCCGCTCAGACGGGCGCGTCAGCTGACCAGGGGTCTCACCCACGCGCAGGTGGGACGTGGAGAGCGGTGCAGAGCTGGTGGCGGGCGAGCCGGGGGCGCTTGCAGCGCTCACGCGCCACATCGTGGCCGCCGTGCCGCACGTAACGCGCAGGTGCGGGGCCTTGCGGGGCGCTCGGCGCGGGGCTGCCGCTCGTGCGCCTGTGGCGTGCCTGGTAGCAGGCTAGGATTCCAGGGTTTTCAAACCAGCAGCTGGACAATTGAGCTGTTCGCAGTCGAAAATTCACCAAAGCCGTACGCCGCCCACGCTTGGCCATCCGCAATCCCCCATCTGTCCCTGCACCGCATCATCGGCGGCAGCGTGAGCCGTCGCGCGGGCGCTGGCGGCAGCGGCGGCGCAACCAGCGAGGCGTTGATGGCAGAGGCCATAAAGGTCGTCTGGTGAGGCCACAATTTTGACGCCAAGTGACTCGTGCTTTCAGCGGCGCGCTCTAGTCGCGAACCGCTGCAAGCGCACGCTGCAGACGCTGCATCGCGCCGCGAGCCCCCCAACACCACAACCCCAGCAGCCGCGCGCTGCGACAGGCGCCCGGGCTCTGCCACCGTCCGCACGCCCCTGGGGCGCCTCGGCTCGCCGGCCGAGACCGCCGCCGCCGCCGCGCCGCGCCGCAGGAACATATCAGTGTATCCGTCCGGCCTGCTGCCCCTGCTGCGGGAGCCCGGCTTGCTGCCCGCCGTCGCCGCGCTGCTGGACCACCCTCGCGCGGACATCATGGAGGCGGCCGCCACGACCATGGCAAACCTCTCCCCGGGCCGCGACAGCGCGTTCATCCAGATTGAAGGCGCCGACATGTGCGGCGCGCTCGGGCGCGCGCTGGCGCGCTGCCTCCGGCGGCATGAGGCGGCCGGCGGGGGCGGCGGGCGGGGAGACGCTGGGTCAGATGATGACGAGACGAAGCAGCGGTTCCTGGTGCAGGCAATGAAGCTCGCAAGGGTGATCGCCCAGGTGAGGATTGCTGGGCCGGGCCTGAGCGAGCGACGCAGGCTGGCTCGGCAGCACGCGGCCGCCCCAGACGGCCCAACGCACAGCCGCTGCCGCCCTCCGGCCGCTCACGCCCCGCACCCCTTGTGCCGCCGTTCGGAGCGCGTGGGGGCCTCCGACAAGCGATCAGTCTCTGCCCTGGTTTCACCCCTGGACTTGCGCCCCCTCCACCCTCAGGACCCTCAAGGGGGCCAGGCTCTGGGAGCCGCCTGCCCAGCCCTGCCCGTCCTGCTCAGGCGCCACCTGACGCACGCCCAGGAGCCCGGCGACCACCCGCCTGGCGAGGGCCCCCTCGCTGACGACGCGTGCGAAGCGTTCCACGGCCTTGTCGCGAACAGCGACGCCGCTGCTGCCGCCGCGGCGGCCGACCCGGATGCGGCGCTGTTCTCGGTTTTGATGGGGGACTGCGACGAGCGGGGGGTGCACCCTATGTGCCGCGTGCTGGGCGAGATGGCCCCCGGCCACTCGCGCGACACGCTGGTCGCCCGGGTAGAAGACTGGTTCATGGAGCTCTCCTCCGAACTCGCGCACGGCGGCGTCGTGCACGCAGGCGTGCTTGCGAGAGCGGCGGGCGCGGCGGACTCAATCGCAGACATGGCGTTGTCGCCCGACGGCCGGGGGGGCACCGCGCTCTGGCAGCAGGGAGCCCTCATCCTGGAAATTTGCCACCTGGCGCGCCTCGCATCCTTGCCTCGCGGAGCCCCCGGCAGCGACGGCCCTGCAGGCGTCGCGGCGCGCACCGTCGGGGCGCTGGCGGCGTGCGCCCCCGCGCTGCCCGCCTTGGACGAAGCCGCGTTTGTCGCGGGCGCGGCGCTCGTCGCGGCGGCGCGTGCCGCCAGCAGCCCCTCCAGCCTGCACGGGCAGCCGCTGAGTCAGTGGCTGTACCCTGAGCTGCTCAGCACGGCACTGGCATGCCTGCAGCCGCCGGCGCCGGAGCTTCCAGACGCGTGGTGCTCATCTGTAGGGCGCCGTCGAACGGCGCACGGGCGCGTGCGGCTGCAGCGCGCTGCTGCAGAGCTGCTTACCGCCTGCGCCTCGCGCGGGCCTGAGTACGCGCGCGCACTCCAGGCCGCGGTGGCGCTCGCCCCCTCCAGCGGCGACGCCCCGATTGTGGCTGCGCTCCAGCGCTTCAGGGACTCGTCAGGTGCGGGTAATTGAATGCGGCACTATGCCGTACTGGCGATGGCAGCCGCCGCTCGAGTTGCTTACCTGTCGGTGCGCCCGCCCCCTTGCTTTCACAAGCACAACAAAAGCATGAGCTGACCGCCCATCCATCCGTTTGCAGGCACCCCGGCCGGCCGTCTGGCCCGTTTGCCCCATCTCATCCCCTGCCCCGGCGCGCCTGTTGCGTGCTGGGCCGTGGCGGCCTCAGCGGCAGGGAGCGCATGCTTCCACGACCCCGCGCACCAGATGCTGGCCGCCTTCATCATCACGGCACTGCAGGACCTGGACGCCCCCCGCCTGCAGCTGTCCGCGCCCCTGCCGCCCCGCGACGCGCTGGCCGTGTGCGACGAGCTGCGGGCCGCGATGCTGCGCGTCGGCGGCTGCGGGCGCGTCAGCGCGCTGGTGCTCCTGGCACTCGGCATCGAGGAGGCGTGGCGCTGCAAGGCGCTGTGCAAGATAGAGATGGAAGCGAGGCGTGCGGATGGCGGTGGTGGGGGGAACGGCGACGGCGGCGACCGTGACGCGAAAAGCGGCGCGGCGGCGTGCCCGAGCGCCACCTACATGCGCGCCCACGCGCTGCTGGTCGGGCTCAACTCAGACCTTCGCGCAGCCCTGCAGGCTCGTGAGAGCTTCACGGCAGCGAATGGCTCTGCCGTTGGGCCAGGCGAAGGCGGATCCAGCGGCGGCACATGCGGCCTCGCCGCCGCGCACCCCTCGGTGCGGCTCGCAGTGGGTGTGCCCTGCGACGGCGACGTCCGCGAGTGCATGTTGACCATCACCCCCGCCAACGCCGCGGCAGCCGCCGAGCGCGCACGGCTGCGGGGCCTGCTGGAGGCGCCGCCTGGGCCGGCGGCCGCGCTGGGCGCTGCCAAGGCGCTGCTTGCCACCTCTGCTGCGCGCGCCGAGTCGCAGTCTGGGGAGAGGTACGACGCGCTCGTGTGTGACGGTGGTGCTTCGGCCGAGGGCGAAGGGGCGGCAGCACAGCAGCCAGAGGGTCCTGTTGGGGCTCTGGGGGATGTGCCGGAGGAGGGACAGGTGGCGCCGCGGGGCGAGCAAAGGCAAGGGGGGCAGCAGCAGCAGCAGCAGCAGCAGCAGCAGCAGCAGCAGCAGCAGCAGGGAGGGCTGGCAGGTTGGCAGCAGCAGCAGCACGATTCGCCCGAGCCCACCGAACACCGGCGAGGCTTGGCGGCAGCCCAGGCAGCATCAGCAAGCTCAGCGGCACAGAAACCAGCAGGTGCAGCAGCAATTGTAAGAGCAGCAGCAGCAGGCGCAGGCGTAGCAGCAGGCGCAGGCGTGGCAGCACGTGCAGGTCCGGCACCAGGCACAGGCGCAGCAGCAGGTGCAGGCGCAGCAGCAGGCGCCGGAGGAGCATCCCCGTCGGCAGCTCCCACCCAGGCACCGTTCTCAGCAGCGGTTGGCGCGGCTGCGGCGACAGCGTCTACAGGCCTGGACCAGCAGCGCCTAGAGCGGCGCGGCTGCGCGGTCTGCGGCCGGACCAAGGCGGAGGGCGCGGCGCTGCGGCGGTGCGCGGGGTGCGGCAGCTTGACGGGCGTGCGGTACTGCAGCCAGCGCTGCTGCCGCAACCACTGGTGCAAGATGGGCCACCGCGCAGAGTGCGAGGCGGCGCAGGCGGCGAAGCGGCTGACTGCCCCCTGTGGGGCCGCCGACGGCAGCAGAGGAGCGGTTAGCAGCAACGCAGCCTCAGGGTAAAAGCGATGGGTTTTGTTGGGGACCCTCTGGGGTGAAAGGCCACCGTGGCAAAAGAAGTTGCCCGGCAATGGTGCCGCCTCCGTCGGCTGAAACCGTCAGATTGTCTCCTCATGTGCAAATGGCCTTTAGACAGTGGAGGGTCATGCCCCCGTAGCGCAGGCGCCAGTTTGATCAGGGTTGGGCAAAGCTGAGCTGCTTGGCTGTAGCGGGGTGAGAAGGACGCACCGCACCTTGAGATTACATCGGGGTGTCACCCAGGTTCAATCACATGATCAACCAGCAGCCGGCCGCTTTACAGCCAGTCGCAGCCCACATGCCGGCCACATCACTCAGCCGGCACAGCAGCCAAGACCGCGACCCGCTCGCAGGCCTGCATGCTGCCTGACAGGCAAAGCAGCCCGCTTTCGCCCTCAAAACTTGACGACCTTTGCGCCCCCCTTCTTCCCCTGCCGCCGCGGCGGCTCCCCGTCGGCTGCGCCGTCGCCGCCGCCGTCGCCGCCGTGGTGGCTGCCGTGGTGGCCGTCACTGCCCCTCTTTCCCGCTGTCTGCTTCCTCTTGCCCCCAGCCTGCCGGCCCTCTTCCGCATCCGCTGCCAGAAAGTCAAAGTCGTCCAAGGCGTCGCCGCTCACGTGCGGCTGGCGCTGCTTCTTGGGCTTGGGCACCTCTTGCTGCTGCTGCTGCTGCTGCTGCTGCTGCTGCTGCTGCTGCTGCTGCTGCTGCTGCTGCTGGGCCGCTGCCGGCTCCTCCTCGCCGGCCGCTGCAGCTTGCACCTGCTTCTTCTCTTTCTTCTTTTTCGCCTTGACACCACCCGCGCCGCTGTCTCCGTCGCCCGCCGCTGCCGCCGGCGTTGCTCCTTCGGTCTCCCCCTTGGCTTTCTTATCCCTCTTGGCTTTCTGACTGCTAGCCGCTGGAGCCGCATCCGCGGCCTCTGCAATGCTTCCATCGCCGCCTGCGCCATCCTTCTTGCGCTGCTTCTTCTGCGGCCGCGCCTCCGCGCCGCCGCCCTCGCCACCGCCGCCGCCGCCCTCCTCCCGCCGCTTCTTCCCCGCCGCCGCCAACGACGCCGCGCCGCCGCCCTCGCCGCCGGCCCCCGCCGCCGCGGGCCGCCCGCCCGCGGGCCAGTCCGCCACCGCAGCCGCCGCC